TAAATATATTAATTATTTATTAAAAACTACAAATAAATTTTATTAAAAATATTGAATTTTTATATTTGTATGTATTGCATAATTATGTTTCTATATATATTATATCATCTCTGCAAATCTATATAAAAGTTAAAATAACAACCTAAACAAAAAAACATACATAAGAATGAACTCAATACGGAAAATTCTTTTTTTAATTCTGCATTATCTATTTTGATAAGTTGTTAGACATTCTTCATAAACAATCATATATAAGTATATGCAATATATTGATATAATTATTTATGCCGAGTTATAATTTATACAAAAAGATACAAAAGAAAAATAATTGGGCTCTAGGAAATCAACGCAGTAATAAGTGATGCGTAATCGTTAAATAAACTACAAATATTTTAATGTAACAAATTTACAAAGAGTCAAAAAATAAATGTTTCGTTTATTTTAATCACTTTCAGCGTATCATGTAAGAATCAAATCGCAGTTTTTCAAAAAATCCTACAAAGGCACGTAGAAGCAAAAAAATAGAAGGGCAGATCAAGAAGATCTAACATATATTATTTTGTATTAATAAGGTGGGCTTGATTCCAAAGCCATTTCTTATTTTTTTCTAATAAGAAAAAATATCAAAGAATGGATTAAATTTTAAAGATGCATGTACCTAAACTGATAAAAATAATTTTTCCGTATCGTCATAAATTAACGGCTGTCATTTTGTTTTTTCAAGTGTATAATGTATTAAACATTCCTTAACGCATAGCTTAACTCTTTACTTAAGAAATAGAGAGTGTTTACTTAAGAAATAGAGAGACGTATAAATGATTTGTAGTTTATTCGTAGATTTCACGAATGTCTAATGGACATCGAGAGAACCACTGTATTCTAGCTCACCGTAAACTTTCGCAATCATAAATGGGTACGGACAGCGTTTACAGAGACTTTTTCTTTTTATTAATCATATCTCGCAAACTCGTTTTACCTGCGAAATCGAGCGTATATTGTTTCGCAAGTGGGCTTTTCAAAGGACGGCAGATGCGCGGCGATTTAAATGATAATTCAATGGTAAAGTGCTCATTCGGATCTACTATCCGGAATATCGATGCCGCGTACGTTTCACGAACGTGAACTGGTTATCTCGAACCGAGCACACCTGCCAACATGGCTTCCGCGGATCCAGCGGTCACGGCTAGTCCCAGCAGCCATGTTGGAATCGCGAATGTCCGTAGGGACGCAACGAGGCAGACACGCGATTGCCCTAAAAGTTCCTTTAAAGACTTCTCCGGATATATTCCACTTGGGAAAAACTCTCTCTCACCTGGAGGACGTTGATGGAGAAGCCTTCTAGGTCTCCCTTTCAGTGTCCTCCAGCAAACCACCAACGCATCTCTTCTTCTGCTTGAAATCCCTTATTGGCCGACGGTTCAGTGATCAGCGACGGAAACATCCGTTGTACCTCCACGGACATTCACTATCGCACGACGAGGACTTTGAGAGGTCTTCGCCCGTATCACTTCTTATCTATTTTCCGTGTACACGTAAACACATATACACTTCACGCGATAAGCGCGGAGTAGACGAGCAGCGTGATTCCTTTCGTCGCACTTCCGATTCTACTCTGATCTCGCTTGGTGAACCGCGAAAAAAACAAGATGTGCTCCTCTCTCCCAAAGTCGGTACCCTAGAAGCAACTCCGCTTCGAGAGGACGACAACTGGAGCGGGATGTCGATACGCGCACGGCGCTCTTTCCTGCGGGAGAACGCGAAGAAGCGCGCGGGTAACTGCGTGTCGGACGCCGCCAGGTAGGCTTCCTCGGCTCACACACCCACGCAGGTAAGGCTCATGCACACTTCACGCGTACACACACACACACATACACACACACACACACACACACACACACACACACATTGGCGCGTACACCTATACACCAGGGCGATTCGCCTGGGAGTCTTTCCGTTTGGCTGCCGCTAGTAGCGCTGCTGCTGGATGCTGTGCCACAACTCTAGAACCGCCTTTGGTGCGAGAGAGGTGGGTTCCGGCCGGCTTACGGTTGCCAGAGCGAGACCGACAGGTAGTCGGAGAGCGAGCGGAAAGAGGGTGGACCCGATGGACCGAGAGCACGCGCGGGGGTTTGCTGGTATCCTATCTACCAGTGCCTATGAAGCGATGCCGCGCAGGTTGAACGCAAGAGGTTTAGGTAGGGACGTGGTATGAGGGGCAGGTGCGTAAACGCGAAACCTGGCACCCTCTCTCTTCCTCTCACAGTCTGGTTCCGTCGCTACCGTGGAATTTCCTCACATCGATGCATTCAATGCTCAGCCATGCTTGATACATATACGCTGTAGATCCGAATCCAAGATATGAGTCCAAGATAAGATTCCGGTAGTTCGACGATGGGAACCATTGCATTCGCGGGCGCTATAAACCATATTCTATTTGAACTAAGATCAAGTTAACGAATTGTACGTTCTCGCCTTGTAAACTCTAGAACTCTCACTGTACCACTGTACCATCATTACGATTCATCCTCCGAAGATCGGAGTAGCGCTTCCGTTTGCAAAGGTAGACGCGCGACGCCAAAGCGGCTAAAGCGCGTTTGTCGCCGCGGTCAGGTAGACGGATGAGAAAAACCGTGAGGCAGGTTGTAAACGCACCTGTAGGAAACCCGCGCCACGCCGGCACTGACGAAGGAGATCGGTCTTTGGTGGGCGGAAAGGGGAGTATGGTCCGTGCACCCCGCCACCAGCCAGAGGCAGTCAGAGAGATCGAGTCTCGGTCTCTGTCTTTTATTCGCTCTCTCTGTCCTTCTCGATCTCTTCTTCAACCACGTTTCATCTTTCTTCCCCCCGTCTTTAAGCGTCCCGCTTCCACCTTCGCCTTCTTCGTTCCTTCGGTACCCCGCCATACCAGCGCAATGTTAGCCTCCCCGCGCATTCCCACTGTCCTTCGGCGTTTCCCTTTTTCTTTTTTTCCCTTTCTGTCTCTTTCTACTGGCAGCAGCCGCCGACGCCCAGCCGGTTTTACACCGGCAAATCGATTCAACCTTACGTACGTCTCGCTGGAACGAGCGCGGTTCTAGTTCATGGATTGCGGAATTTGCTCCAGTTGGATAGAATAAGCGGTGCAATTATATTCATCGTAGATGAGTCGTTTGTTGGGTTGATTTGCACGAGACATGAATTTCTTGCTGCTACTGAATAGCCTTTTTTGTCATTTAACCGGCTATTTTTAGTCTATGGAGTAATGGACTTTTAGATCCAGAGAGAGAGAGAGAGAGAGAGAGAGAGAGAGAGAGAGAGAGAGAGAGAGAGCGAGCGAGAGAGAGAGAGCGAGAGAGAGGGAGGGAGAAATGCGGCGGCCACTTACAACGATTGGCTTCTCATTTAGTTTAACATTGCTATCGTTTTATTCTTGTCAAGCGGAATAATCGCTCCAGATATGTTCGACAATGTGACTTCTGTAATAAAGTTAAAACATTTTCATTTATTTATGATAGATCTTCAAACTATAACATAAAATTTACGCGACGTTAATTCTATAGCTACAATATACTTTATACAAATATATAGTTCATTGTACTTTATACAAATATGTGTTCGTGTAATTAAACACGATTGATTTACATATATTTACATATATATTACATATATATCTAATAAATTATAATATTATTTTTCGTCATTTTATTTGAGTCATTTTATCTTATTGTATTTAAATTAATTATTCTATGAATCGTAAGATATATTATAATTTCTAAACAAATTTTACAGAAGTTAGTAATGACGTTTATTTTTGAGCAAATTAAATGGCAAATTTGATATATCGATTGATATCGACGAATCCCATGGATATCAGATCGATTCTTAAGTAATAAAAAGTCGTCAGCTGATTCAGACCAAGAAGTAATCGGCTAAAAATGTTTCCTTACATTCCTTTATTCTGTCGGATATATTAAGGATAATCTCATTTGCTTAAAATACTATCGATATAAAGCGATATGTGTGATATCATCACACATATCATTTCAGTCATAAATAGATAATGATAAAAAAAAATACGAAAGCTTGTTATCGAAACTAAAGTTCTTTAATAATAAAAATAGTATATTTCTTTTATCTGAGCGAATGGCGACAATTCTTTTCAACATTTCTTTTTTAATGGCTGCATTCTTATCGCGTTTTTCTATTGACTATTTCGATCTTGGATTTAATTCATCTATTCGATAAATTTATTTACTGGTCCTTGAGCAGTTTTTTCCAATATAATATATAAAAATCTGTTCTGGCGAAAGTTATTGTACATGCCGCAATTCTAAATACTTATATGTGCGCAATAATGTGAATAAAAGGCCAACAAACGAAAGTACTATGCAACTGAACATGACTTGGTAATAGTAATATCGAATTTTTCTTACACTCGGTTGATATCCTGTAAAGTCCAGTGAATGGCATCGCCTCTTTCGATTTTTTTTATTAGCAAACCTCATTCCTGAAATGGGTTTGAACGTCTTTGATTGTAGCAGAAGTATAACTGAGTAGTGTCGTATTACATTATAACACATTATAATCTGCGTGTCGAGAGAGCCGCGTCTACTTGGCGCAGAAACCATTCGGGACTGGATTACGCTACCAAAGCGCGACGTCATAAAATTCACCGGCGCGACGTCGTAGCCTCCCGTAAAACGAGCACGCGGCACGGAGCGTATGGAAATTGATAGTAAGTATATATTTCTATGCCCGTCAGCTTTTCAAACGCCCATAACTACTTCGCGCGAGTTGGATTGTGGTTGAACGCTAGAAGGCCTAGCCTCGTTGTCGGGCGATCTTCAAACGGTCCATTTGTGAATTCATTTCGCGACTCGTTCCGACACGGTAGATACCTGAAAGGGGACAAAGAGACACGAAAGAACGTTGACGAATCGGTCGGCGTGATCGCGTGTCGTAACGGTACGCGATGACGTACATCATCTCTTTTCCTAAAAGGTCGGGACGCCAAGTACAAGGCCGCCTTTAACTATTCTTGCGTGAGAAGAAGATCACGCTTGAATGAGCGAGACTTTATATATTTACATAGCATTAGCCTTTTGTAGCAGAATGCAATGTGTGAATGGCATTGGCGCGTCATTGTTTCGAGCTCCGATTGACGGTACGATTCTCTCGCTCGGCTTCCTCAACGTATACGCTAATTAATGGAATGTACTTGTCAGGCTAATTACAAGTTGTCGGCGTGAGACAAAAGTATTGTATTCGTCAAGAATGAAATTCCGGAAGTCGTGTCGTAGAAATTTTTAAAAATTACAAACTTAGTTTAGATTGTAAAGATTTCAGTACTAATACTTTCTAAGATCTCAACTTAGTTGTTCAAATTTTGCTTTCTTAACTTGCTTGTGAACTTAGAATAGCTGATTTGTTAATAGCTTAATACATGCCTTCTAGGCTATTAAGCTTATTATGCTAAGTTATTATTTTATGATAATACCTCGCACGTAAAATATTGTTTATACTTTGTATGAAGTTGTCAAATACGAAAGGCCATGTTGGTCTTTATAGTACGAATTTTATTAGAAAGGCTTGCCACTTTCTTCTTAAATAACTTTAATATCCATAATATCTATAATAATAATAATAATAATAATAATAAT